CCTCGGCGGGAGGTTTCGGCGAGCCATGTGCCCCACTAGCTAACCAAGCAGCCGCTGGGCGACGCGCCTGCTCATTCCAAAATCTTTCGCCCAAAGCCAGAGCCCTAAAGCACGCTGTCCACGGGTCCGCTTCTGTGCAATGTCTAGAGCAATGGATCGCCTGATCTTCTCCAACTTCTCAGCTCTCGCCTTGTCATCGGCCTGTGCAATCAGGCCCCAAGCTTTGGGCCACTGGAGCAGAACCAACTTCTCAATGACCTTCTCATACAGGAGGAGGGCGGCCAATGTAACCAAGTTCAACGAAATGCATGCGACTTTGAACACCCTCCAACTGACCAGCCACTGCTGCAAGTTCTGGGGGCCCGGCAATTCTTTCATCACAAACGATCCATCACCTATCGGAAGAAAGGCCCTGAACTTCTGATTCTTCAAGACCCTCCTCCCGAAGGGTAGCCACACGGAGAAGTCCACATAGGGTGGCTGGTTCTGTACACGTACACGATGATGTAGCGCTGCTAACTGTGCATCTGTTGGCTCTTCTTCTTCATGAGGGGGAGCACCCATCACTGCAATGTACCTTTGGGCCCATTCGTTCAACATGACTGCATCAGGCAACTTCGTCTCTGAATCATCAGTCTGGTCCACGATTTTGGCCATCTTCAAAACATTGTCCTTGGTGCCCCCAACTCCACCGCTCCCAGTGGTTATCCCACTGGTCACTGCCGCTCCACCACCTGCTCCTTCAGGAGGTCCCGGAGGTGTCTCAGGCATCCATGGGTCCCTATCCTAAAGGTGTCAGGGTTTCCGCCTCCTTGCAAATGGATGACCCACCTTGCATTGCGCCAGACCAACCCCACCTGAGCCGCCTGAATCGGAGTCAAACATTCGCCGGAAGCCATGGTGGAGGAACTGACAATCTGAGGAATCGTCCAAACCGGCATAGCCGCTATCAACCGTAGATCGTTCCCCGGATCCCCTGCCGTCATCACGAACGCATCCCACAGAGGATCCGGTACTCCCAGGCCCGTCAAGAGGTCCGGAACGGTGTTAATGCCCTGGGCCACCGACACATTTAACAAAACCATTAGAACATGGCGGCTCGCGCGCTACACCAAAAGTAAAACCAGAGCTGACTCTCGTCTTCGAGCCTCAGGCTCAAAGGGGGTTGAGTATTCTCTACCCTCCCACCCTCCTGGACAAACATGTTCGCTCTTGTGTCACGCAGTACCTAGGGTACTTTCACATTATCTTTGTTCCTGCAGTGTTTCTGGAATCACCGGCTTTGGGATGTGCATGAAAGGCAGGGGGAGATCAAAACCCGAATGTATGCACGGAGGGGACGCACTCACCTACGCACATCTACATGTTCTGAGCATTTGCGGCCATTGTATGAACAGGGGGGGGCAGGGTCAACAAAAAATCTAACAACATGTAGGAAACAAAGGGGCAGAAACTGGTCCAGAATCCAGGCCAAATGTACGCACACCATCATGGAGTGCTGCAATCGGCAATCACGACCAAAATTTACAAACATTATCTGCGGGCTCCTCAAGGAAGGATTTTGGATTTTGAGATGCATTGGTTTCTTTGTGTCTGGCCCCAACCACTCTCTGGGCCCCCTTGTCCTGCATACAATTCCAGTAAGAGAAAAAGGTCTTTCCGTATCTTTCCCTTCACCCCCTTCATGTTCCGGACCTTGGAGATGAACAAAACAAACCTGTATATCTGTATATCACTGTCCCTCCCCAAAGATGGAAGAATAAGAAGGAAGCATACTCTTTATCAAGGAATTATATGCGAGCAGGGGGTTGGGAACCGCCCTCAGGAAGGATACGTTGCTCAAGCAAAAATGTTATTGGCCAAGTTTCTGGTGCTTGGGGGGGTCTGCAATGCCACTGCCCATCTCAGGAAACTCCAGTAATTAGCCCCAGTGCAAATTGTATGAAGCCATGGGGCTCGAACAATTCTTTAAACAAGCGTGAACAATTATGGACACTGACTTTCCTGATAGTGTATGAAAGCAAGTGAGGGAAAACCGCCCTGAGGAAGCATACTCTTTCAGCGAAATGTATGATGGGGCGGGGGGCATCCATAATCATCATATCATAACGAAACTTTCAACTACCCCATCTCCTCAACTTATATATTATATCTCTCTGTCGCGCAATCTCTCTCCAGCTCTACGCATGCACATCTATCCACATCTACGTCATCTCTCTATCTCTGCAACTTATCCTTGTTTTTTTGCTCTTTCTCTCTCCCTCTCATCCATCCATCCATCCATCTACCCACCCATCCATCCAGCTAGCTATCCATCCACCCACCTGCAAGCGGCGCAGAGTCCCTAAAAAGTTAAAGCTTAAGAGGCACCCTTTTTTCAATCATCAGCCCTTCCAACAAACGAAAAAAAGGGACGCCGTAGAGTGGTTTCTCTTTTTCCTCAAGCATTTCTTTTTCCACCTATCTCCCCAACATCCGCGTCTACTCCTGCCACTCTCCCACCTTCTATCAATCTATCCGTTCATCTCTCCACCTACATAGCCATTCCCCTTTCATTCATCCATCCACCCACCCCAGGTAGGAATCCATCAATCAATCTACTCAAAAGAAACTAAATCGTTTCTATTCGTTTAAAATAAGTGGCCAGGGGGGCCTCCCACGAAGCAACTTCTGAGGTTGGAAGATGCTTCCCACGAGACAAGTATTGTGCGCGGTGGGGTCCACCATCAAAATAATCACGAAAACCAGCCGATAAGCTAGTCACGAGTTTATGAGAGAGACCCAATGTGGCAGTTGGCAGGCCAAACAGCATTGAACACTGACAATTTGTGTGTCTTCGTGATGTCGATGATGCGACAATTTAGCCAGGCCATTGAAACTATTTTTAAGATTAAATTAATGTTTGCAATTTCATACCTTTGCAAGATTGAATATGTTTCACCACCTAATACCTACATTACTTTAGATTCAGCGGTCCCCACCTCCGCAAAAAAGGAACTAAAATCCGGGCGCCGGCCCCAGGGCCAGCCCGTGTGTCGCCCGGAGGGCCTTCGGTGCAACCGAAGGTTATATTTAAAGGCTTACGCCTGACACCCGCGCGCTCAGCCACCTTCCACATTGAAGGATGTTGCCGGGATGCCCGACGTCCCGGCCCCGGTCGCCTCATGTTTTTTTGCCTTTATCCCCTCCACCGTCCTACTCTCTCTCTCTCTTTTTCTCTTTCTCGTTGGCTTTCTTAGGGCCTCTTTTGCTCTCTCCCGTTCTATGTCTCTGTCCCTCCATGCCTTTCTCTCCTTCTCTCTCTCTCTCTCTCTCTCTCCTTCTCTCTCCTTCTCTCTCCTTCTCTCTCTCTCTCTCTCTCTCTCCTTCTCTCTCTCTCTCTCTCTCTCTCTCTCCCTGTCTGTCTGTCTGTCTGTCTCTCTCTCTCTCTCTATCTTTCTTTTTCCTCTCGTTCTAGTTCTTGAGGCTATCTTGGCCCATCTTGGGGCTATGTTTCCCATATCTGGGACCCATGTAGGGTCATCTTGCGGCTATGTGTGCCATATCTGGGACCTATGTTGGGTCATCTGGAGGGCCGCTGTCAGGTCATCTTGGAGCACAATTTCCGCCATTGATGTTGGCGTGCGCCCAGCACCCACAAAATGCCGATTATGCCTGTCCACGCGGCGCGCATTACCGACACCACCCTTGAAAAACATAGTGTTTTTATGTGTTTTTGCGCTTCTCCATCTTCGCCGCGTGGCATTTTCCACGCGCACAAAACACTGTAAAACACATAGTTTTTTAGACCGCACACACACACACACACGAAACACTGTAAAACACGTGGGTCGGAGGTGGGTCGGGGGTGAACCGGGGGTGGTCGGCGGCAGGGGGCGTCAGTCCTTAACCTTCGGTTACACCGAAGGCCCTCCGGGCGACACACGGGCTGGCCCTGGGGCCGGGGCCGGAGTGCTGACCGCCCCACCGCCGACCTGCGGCGCTCCAACCGCAGACCTGTGAGGAACCCTGTGTTTTACAGCGTTTTCTGCGCCTCATGATCTTCCATGTCCAATCCAACAACATCGGCCCTGAAAGGCCCAACATAATTGCAGGATGGGCCAACATAGCCCCAGGATGGGGCAACATAGGCCCCGGACAGGCTCAACATGGGTACAAGATAGGCCAAAGATAAGCTCACATAGGCCCAAGATAGGCCCAACATGGGCCCAAATGGCCCAACATAAGGCCCTTGCTGGGCCAACATAGGCCTTAGATGGCCCAACACAAACCCAAAATGGGCCCAACATCGCCCCCACACCGCCCCACAAAGCCCAAAGATGGTCCAACATAGGCCCTGCCCCGGCCGGCGCCCGGCTGTCAGGCATAAGCCTTTAAACATTGCAAGCAATCATTTTCTTTAGAGAGGTCACCCGCACATTTCTAAATGCAGCAGGCCTTGCGGGCGGAATCGTCGCGGAGCGACAACAATGATTATATAATTACTGAAACATAGGTCTGCACAGGTGGCAATGGAGCTGTTCAGCAACTGTGGTGCCCGTGCCTTAAGCTTTCTAAGGATGGGCAGCTGGCGCAACACCTGTGGCTTGTTGAGCTGTGACACTGGGTTGTCCTAGTGAAGGGCACCTGACAGACTGGTACAAAATTGGGCCCAGTGACGTACCAATAAATAGACTCTCGTCAGAGTCTCAGAAGATCTACAAAAAGTGGCAGCACCCCACCTGGTTATAGTTCTGAACATCCTCGCCTCCAGTGGCTTCTCAGTCTCAAGGAGGCAGTTGCTCACATCCAGGCTTCGAAGCAGTTGCAGCTCCTGAAAGAGCTTCAGGCAAATGATACCAAACAAGCATGATGAGGTCGTCAAATTGAAAGTCAGTTTCTGTGCAGTGAGTCGTCATGTGTCCATGGACAGGTCCCCTTTGAGGTCATTTGGGTCTCGATCCCGCACGCGGATACGTGGATCGGCGACAGCCAGTGCCATCACAAAGGCTGTCTCAAATCTAAGCAAGGACTGTGTTGGCCATGCGCGGCTTTGAGCCGTGCTCGACTCCTTTGAGTCGTTTGGCCAGGTCACTGGGGCAAGTCACAACCTCTACTAATCGATTGCCCTCAAAGCGCAGATCGCAGATCTGTTGCCCAGCTGGCGCTGCAAAGCGCGGAGACTTTACTGCAGTCATGCCTTTGAGGCTTTGAAGCAAGGTGGCAAGGCTGGCTTCGATTCAATAAACCCTAACAGCATTGCCAAAATCTGTATCTCAATAGCCCAGCGGCTCAACAAATTTGAGAATATTCAAGGCACTCACACAATCCAAACTTGGTGCGCAGGGTCTCTGGAAAACAATTTTTCCATATGTTTCCTGTCAATTGTTTCAATCTGTCTGCTAGAGTGATGCTAGAATGTTTGACGAGCCAACACGACAGCAAGTGGGTTGCCTGAAAGCTTGAAGACACGTCCATTGGAGGTGTAGAAGGCTAAGGAGGCACCCAGCTTACGATCTCGGAAGAACTGCCTCAACAGCAAAGGCAAATGAAGTTCAGATCAAAAACAGGGAAGAAAGAACATGAAGGAACGGGTAAAGGTCTGTTCTTTTAAGCAAGAAAGAAACGAATTATATAATATATAATTAATTACCAGAAAAATATACAGTAGATTACAGTAGAACAATATAGAACAATAACACAATTCACAAAAATGAGAAAGACACATTAGACAAAGAAGGTTTGCCATGTTTCCATGTTTGCTGCATTTGCTCAGGTGCTCGACCACGATGATCCACTCGTCTGGCTCGATTTGCCAAGGTCCTCTGATCATGTCGCCTCCCGGTTCTCCTGAATATGTCGGTTACATGGAGAATGTGGAGACAAAACATAGGGCATCAAGAGCGGTGCTTGGATCAGTTAAAACGCGACAGCAGGAATTAAGACATGGAGAGAGGGAGAGAGAAACGCGCGACAATACGGATATCGTCCTGTGTCCTGACATTATCACATGTCAACTCATTTGTGTTTGAATAACATGTCACGCCCCAACAACCAAATGAAACGAACTCTGTAGGCTCTCACATGTCCATACACAGAACTCATCTCCCAACTTCGAGCGTGTTTGCAGCCTCTAGACTATAGTGACTCTAGTGGTTCTTTCTGACCTCAAACACTTTGCTAGATTCGTGGATATCCATTTCCAAAGACCCGGCTAGAAGTGCCGCCAGTACCACAATCTGGCAGCACCCTGGACCCTTGAAAAGCCTAGACCAGAATACCGCTATTTGCACGCCAAAGGTTCCGTAGGAATACGTTGTGCCATCCCGCAGCTTGATGACACAGCTGTCCACTGCCGAGCCCACACGACCTGAAATACATTCCACAGAGCCTTCTTGGCCCACTTTCCTCAGTCCCAGAACGATCCGAAGAGACCAACATGAACGCATTTCAGAAAAAAATCGTTTTTGCTTCGTGTACTGTCCAGTCCAAGAACTCGAGGAAAACTCCAACCAGCTGGTGCCCATCGAACTGCATCCCAGTGATTTGCCGCCCTGCTGGTGCTGCAAAACGGCGCCTTGTTCGCGCCTCTGAGCCAGAGATTGCCAGGATGCCTCGTCCGCCCGCTCGTTTGGTTCAAACACGTTCAATGCATCCCACTTGACTCTGTGGACCTCATCTGCCACATTCCAGTCACCGGCCCTCACAATTAAAGGCAAACAATTGTGAACTGAAAGGGCTCCTGAGCCAGATCTTACGAATCAATTTTGAAAAGAGTGTATCTGCGCAAATGTGATCAAATGTGTCTAATTGGTCCGGCGGTTTGAAAAACAAAAATGCTTACAATGGTGTCTCCACTAGATTTGAAGCAGGTGAAACTCCCTGTGACTCGGAGATGACGTGAAACTACAGCTCCTTCAGAAAACATTAATGTTTTGTGGGTTTGTTGTCCAGCGACAATGGCAACCGATTGTCTTCGTCATCATCACAACATACGTCAACGCAGAACCACCCAACCTCCCTCCCCAAGTCACCAGGACGGCTTAGGCTATAGACCTTATGACTCAGGCCTTTTTAGAGGGTGACTAAGCCTGACTAACCTATCAGATAACTATCAGATCAGCTACCCCCACGCTCTCCCACACAGACCATCGGAGTGCCAGCGCGCTGCGTCAGCAAATGTTGTTACTCATGGCGTTGTTTGATGGAAGGAAAGAGGAATGGAATTCAGGTTTTCCAGTTAGCATTGGCTGCAAGGAGTCTACCAGCCAATGAATCATTGATCAGTTTGGGAAGGCGCCAAAATTGATGACTTTTGGATACTTTTGGGGACCCTGGATAAGGGGGAATCTGCAAGGATAATAAGCCCTAATAGCTCATTCAAAAGCCTCTGGTAGTGCCAGAAATGCCACCAAAGGAACCCTCAAATTGAACCCCACAAAAGACTAGCTTTTAACATGTTGCAGGTAAATTCTGGCCTTATATGTTTCTGTACTGTAAATGATGAAGCTCTGAAGCCCTCAATCGGTTGTCAAGAACAGTCGTCAGCTTTTTGGAACCGCGGGCTGCAAAAGGAACGGCTGCCAAATCAAGCGAAGCCCAGGGATGGAAAACATTGATTGGGATGGTGGTCTGATTTGGATAGCCGCTATCCGGATAGCCTATGCTGAGTCAATCCAAGGCTGATAAGCCTCTATTAAGGCCTTTTGGCTAAGACCCTATTGTATAGATCCTTAACCTTGTGGTGCAAAAAACCATTGGAGGCTTAATAGATGCTTATTAGCAGCTTAATAAGGATCCACACGTCTATCAAAACCCAATCGAAAAACAAACCCTAAGCACCACAGCCCCCCCCCTCAGCCCCCCCAGGTCCCGATGAGCCAGGGTTTATGCAAGTAGATTCTGAACCGCAAACATAGTGTGTGAAAATGTGTGAAATGCGTTTTTTGAGACGCGGATGGTCATAGTCTTAAAAACATTGCACAAAACACGAGATAGGAGACTTGACTATCCTGATCTTGCAGGGTTTGGTTGTTGTATGAAGTCGAACTATTTAATTTTGTGTTTATATAAAACGATTCGACCAAATTGCCGAGGCGTCTTTGCAGTATGCAAACATATGCAAACCGTGTAAAATTTGGTTTCTTGGACAAGTCTCGTGCTTTGCTGGTGTAAAACACCAATGAACTTCCCAGGACATTCTCCAACAAGAAGTCCTGAAGAGCACGGGAACCCTTGGAGAATGCATATGATCCTTGAAACTCAGTGTATCAGGTGTTTCCCTGGACGGAGGAAAGTTTCCCTGCCGGATAAAGCCTGATAGAACCCACGCACCCGAACGAGAGTCACATGTGAATCGAACCTGTTGAGAACGGACATGTGAAAAGAACTTGCGAGCACACCTCCTCTTCTACAATCCTACTTGTTTTCCATCTTTTGTCCACCTTTTGCAATGCATGCACGACAGTCAGTTCTCTCGCTTTCAACACACGCCTGCTGCGAGCAGCCATCACAGAAAACGGCGCCGTATGCACAATTCACACAATTCCCTCCCAGGATACAACAAGCAACGACATATGCCAATCACTTCCGCACTCCTATATACATCACGGACAATACTTTCCCGCGTTTCTCGTTCCCCAATGGCCACACTACATGGCACATGATTGACCGAAGCAATTTCGCAGCACCCCGTGCTACACATTACACCCTGCAGTGGCACCACCAATCATCCCACTCACCATGCGACACGCCACGATATTCCACCAACCCCGCGCCAATCAAAGACGCAATTTTGCTGCACTTTTGCCACAGACTGGATGTGACCATCTGCTGACACGACGCCACCAACCATCCAGCTCACCAGCAACGCGCCGCGTCTGTACAGTCTGCACGCGCGTGTTTCCTGTTTCCAATGCACGCGAACGCGCTTTCCACCGAAACCGTGCCAAACCGCATGGCACAGGCACAGCGACATCACGGACGTTATTTCTCCGCACCGATCGACGCAGACTAGACGCAACAATGCCTGACGCCACCAAACAGCCCGAATCCCGCCCACCATGTTTCCATTCCCCCAATGGCACGGGGCCACGCAAAGGCACTTTCCACATCTTTCCACCAAATCCGACCGCGTGGCATAGCGACATCACCGACGTAATTTTGCCGCAGCTAATGCCACTTTAAACCCCGGATCTCCAAGCCCTCACCAAACCTGCACTGCAGAGCCCTAAGCCCGGAGCTACTTCCAGTACTACATTTAATGATGGACTAGAAAGTTGCCAGTCCCAACCCCGGAGCTCAGACGAGGAGCATTCCGTACGAGACTTACTTCCTCCAAAAGTCACGCGTCCAGTTTCCAACGCGAACGTTTCATACGAGCCTTCCTCCTCCAAAACAAGCTTTGCGCACGAGACTTCCTCCAAGAGTCGTCACAACCTCACAATTTCCTGCGTCTGCCACGAAATTCATATTCCACATCTCCAACACACGGAGAGCACTGTGCCTGCAACGAAAAGTGACGACTTGACATCTGGCTCATCCCCTCAGCGAAATTTGCACCATGCCACACGTTTGGAATGATTTCGGGGCTTTCTGCGCACATTCACCTCCACCAAAATCACAATTTTAGCTGAGACATGCTGAGACCTGTCAAGAAAACAAAGCTTCTAGATTCTAGGCAAGAGCCTGAAAGGAAAATCCCAATGGAGGCTCCAACACCTCATCACCTCCAAAACACCGCCCTGCGAATGCAAATCCTAATGGCACAGCCACCAGCTTTGCTAACCACTTCACACTTGAGACATCACGTTTGCACGCTAGTTCGCGCGAATCGGGCACTTCTCCATCCATCGAAGACTTCTTCCAAAAGCTCTCCCCAACCACAGGAGTTTCCGCTTTGCGGAGTCCCGACGCGACCACACCGGGGACACGAACGCGAGGCGAACACAGGTCCAAACCCCCATGGACCTCCAGAGAATGAACGGGAAGCCTTCGCTAAGCATTCGGGAAACATGATTCCTAGATGTTGAAGGAAAAGAAAAACACCGAATAATACAAACGGTCTAAAGAAAAATACTGCTATGAAAAAGAATGAGAATAGAGCAGTTCAATAAGCTTTCTAGATGATTGAATAGTGCATCCAGTACAACTTTCTAATCGGCGCCGTGACCTGAACGCGTTGTTCGATCTTGCTCTGCTGCATCAAAACAAACTAGTACCACTCACACCGGGCACCTTAAGATCTCGGTTACTCTGGGTGTTGTGAATCTGAAGCAGCGAATGACCTTCAGCCCTACGTGGGCGCCTGCTGAGTGTTCATTTGCTGTGAGCTGGGTGAATTGCTTTTGGAGGAAGGAAGACTGTTAGCCCACGACGAGCATCAACATCTGCAATGAATCTGCAGCCACTTTGTGTCTTTGTGTACACTGTGCGCGAAGCAATACAGCGAAAGAACAGCCTCAAGTGATAAGTGTGGCGTTGCATGTTACTGGAAACACGCAAACTCACGGCAAGGCTCTGCATCGCCTGCGTCACAGAATCACAGGAACAAACGACAATGCATCAGTCTGTCATGTTTGTCTGCCAATCCCCACTTGCAATTAAGAACCTCTTGCCCAATGTGATCCCAGGCCGCAGAAATTAACAACCCCTCTAAAACCAGCCAATGGTGTTTTCTGCGGCTGGGAGGGGGCTGCTCAATCTAGGGACCATGTCTTACAGTGAGGGTTCTTCGGCGTTCAATGCGCTACATCTCACGTTGTTTGAAGTACCGCTGCCTTGTGACAGCCGAACCGCCGCCCCAAAACTCAAAACTCATTCGTATAAGTTTCACAAAGAAAATCTAAGAACCGAATCAATCAGGAGGCTCCCCCGCACCTTCAGGTGTGGAGAGCCTTAAGCCTGAACCCTCCTGCGTCGCCAGCTTCCTTGCTGACTTTACCTCACGGCCTACCCCCAACCCCGCCCCAAAAGAAGACTAAAGGATCAAAATAAGTTTCTATGTCAAACAAACACACCACCGTAGACCCCAAACAGGTGGGACAACAAAGAAGCATTCCCAAGTCCGTTTTTCCCCAAACAGTGCGGGCACACTGAGGGGTTCTTACGGTGAGGGAAAGGCAGCTGATGCTTAGAGACCGGCTAATTCGCTGCTATTTACAGTGCATTCATGGTTCTCGATATCGTCAATGTGCACTTCGACTGCGCAGGCTCGCAGGATCTGGCTGTCTGCGGCGGGTGCTTCTAACGACTCCGCTCCCGTTGTGGCGCCGTGCGCATTTTCGCACATGGTGATGACTTTCGTGGCAGGCGCAAGGGAAACCTCGTGCTTTGGTGATCCAAAGTCGACTTTTCGTGAAAACGAAATGCAATTTTCGTGGCAGGTGCATGCAGCTGCATGCAGCACTTTGGACATGGTGGTGATCGTCGAGGAGCTCAGATTTCGTGACAGGTGCAGTGAATCGTGACTTTTGGACATGTGGCTCCTTTGCTGATTTCGTGGCAGGCACAGCACTTGGTGAACCTCGAAGTACAGATTTCGTGGCAAGCACAGGGCATATCGGTAAACCTCGAAGTGCAGATTTCGTGGCAGGCGCAGCGCTTGGTGAACCTCGAAGTGTAGATTTCGTGGCAGGTGCAGCACTTGGTGAACCTCGAAGTGCAGATTTCGTGGCAGGCGCAGCGCTTGGTGAACCTTGAAGTGCAGATTTCGCGGCAAGCACAGCGCTCTGTGACCGTCGATGTGCAGATTTCGTGGCAGGTGCAGCACTTGGTGAACCTCGAAGTACAGATTTCGTGGCAGGCGCAAAGCGCAGATTTCGTGGTGCAGATGTCGTGGCAGGCGCAGCACTTTGTGGGCCTCCAAGCGCAGATTTCGTGGCAGGCACAGCACTTGGTGAACCTCGATGCGCAGATTGTGGCAGGCACAGCACTTTGTGAACCTCGAAGTGCAAATTTCGTGGCAGGCACAGCGCATGGTGAACCTCGAAGTGCAGATTTTGTGGCAGGCACAGCGCTTGGTGAACCTCGCAGCGCAGATTTCGTGGCAGGCGCACCTCACTCTCTCCACTCTCCAGATCTCTAGACTTTCTGCTTACAGACCTCACACACACTGCTTGGAGTTTCTTGCCAGGAGACAAAAGGAAACAGAAGGGAGACAAGACGGACACAATGACCAACAAGAAGGGAGACAAGAAGGTAGACTCAGGTAGACAAGAGGAATTAAAGGACCGGATAACCCCACATATGAATCTTTACGAATCTCAAGTTTCTAAAGCACAAAGCAGTCAGAGTCTCAATAGCTTCTACAACATGGCCTTGTCAGGAACTATATCAGAATTACACAACAGAGGGGTGGGAGAGAGGTGTGGGAGAGTAATGCGCACGGCGGATGTACGAGATCTACTGCAATTTACAATAAGACGCGCCGCAGCCGACCAGCGGCGACCACAGCCGACAACGCAACCGCCAGAGCCTCTAACGGAGCGAGATCTATTGCATTTTACACTAAGACAGCGCCGCAGCCGACCAGCGGCGACCAGCGGTGATGAGGGGTGTAAGATAAGTGGTGTGTGATAAGTGGTGTGTGATGAGTGGTGTTTGATGAGTGGTGTGTGATGAGTTTTGTAAGATGAGTGGTGTGTGATGAGTGGTGTGTGATGAATGGTGTAAGATGAGTGGTGTGTGATGATTAGTGTGTGATGAGTGGTGTGTGATGAGTGGTGTAAGATGAGTGGTGTAAGATGAGTGGTGTCAGATGAGTGGTGTGTGATGAGTGGTGTGTGTTAAGCGGTG